TATTTTTAACTCTTTATCCTTGGATGTATAAAGTGAACTTTTTGGCTTCTGTAAGTATGCTCTATGCACCTCTAATGTTTTATCATGTATTTATATGTTGTACACAGTACTGGCCGATTCTGTAAATGGATGTATTGTACAGAGAACACGAGTGTCTCTCCCTTATTATCCGTCTCCGGCAACATCGCATTTAGGTGGTGTGCTTCTCTGCCTGAGTCAGAGCCACCACCCGACAGGAGGGTGCAGCAACTGACTTGGGATCTGCCAGCGTGGCCCAGTGCCCTGTCCTGGTCGCCCAATGGACCTGCTGTGGCCCGCAGAACCACAGCCAGCCCACCTGCGCTCTGCTGAGCAGATGTGTCTCACCTCATGTCTCTTCTCTTCTGACCTTCCACTGGCTTCTCGCTGCCATATGGGATAAATCACCACCACCAGTGTTAAGTGCTCTGAAGTCAAGGGTGAGTGCCCTGGGCAGCCCCAAGCAGGCATTCCAGATGTGGCTCCAGGGTTACCACCTTCAATACCTGGGACCATTTGGTGTTCTTTTGATAGCAGGTTGGGGAAGAAAGCCACACCTGTTGCCTGCTTCTCTCACTACACACTCCCAGCACGTAGACATCTCCATAGTTATCTTCCCTCGCCTTGCTCCCCACCTTCTTACCCCTCCACTCGTGGCAGAGTTGAGAGCCCTCATTTGACTTCCATCTCCCTGTATGAGTGCTTCTGTGTGAAGTAGAAAATTGGTGTGACCTCAGCAAGTTTCACCCGAAAGACCCCCGTCCCACCCCATCTCATCCACTGTGGCATTTTTGTTATCTAAAGCGTGAGAAGGTGGCAGTCACGTAGTGATGTAAATGCAGTATTGGTCAAGTCCAAGTTGTCAACTTTAATAATCTGTTTACCAAAGACCGGGAGCAGAGGCCCAGGTGCGTGTGATCTTCCTTCTGCTGTGACCTTTGGCGGCCTGTAGGCTATAGGCAGAAACTGGTCTGTTCCTTGGGGCTGCCCAGGGAAAGCACGGCTCTTGTATGTCTCTTGTGGTTTCGGAAAAATAAACCTGTACAGCCTGCGCTTGTGGTCTCCGTCGTCTTGTGTGGCCGCCCAGCTGGACTGGGAAAGAAGGCCAGGAATACAGAAGGGGCGCCGCAGGAGCAAACACCGGCTCACTTCACCTTAGCTCCAGAACCTCTGTCCTTGGTCTGGAAGCTCTTCTTCTGTGAGGTTAGTGCTAAAAGCCTGACTTGCCGTTTTTTCCGCTGGTCTCTAGACTCTGACTGAAAGAAATCTTAATGAGAGCAGTGAAGGTGCTCCTCCCAGCCACCCTATTGAGACACCCTGCCAAAGAGATTCCTGATGGCAGGTGATCCATGGGGGTGGTGACCAATTCCAACCTTAAAACCCCTGTAAACACAAGTGCCTCTCTGCACTGAGGGTGACAGCCTGCAATTCCCGGACTTCTCTGAAGTAACTACATGCATGATTCTGTGCTTACCAGGAACTACCTTAGCATGAAAATAAGCCAAAGGTAAAACATGGTGGAAGTACAGATTCATTAAAATCTGTGTCTGTTAACTTGTTTCCTGTGAATGGGTGAAAGTAAGCTTTATCTGTGGTGGGATAATGCTCCTCTGTCCTGCTGCTGTTGATGGAAGTACAGCTGGAGAGGTTTGGTTAGATGGCTCTGTGGTGACAGGGCAGCCTCCTAGTGGGGACGCTGTGTCTGTATTTTTGTGCCGTCATGGCACAGTCCGTTGGCTCACTTCATGTCCATCTGCAGGAGCTTAGAATGCATTAGAATCCAGGGCTGGGACCCAATGTTGCAACTGAATCTCGTCAAGGAGGCAGCAGCGGATGGCAGATTTTGCGTGCAGGCCCTACTTCCTACCAGCTCTGTGGCCCAGGCAAGCCAGTCTCTCTGCTGGCACCTCCATCTCTGAATGGGGATCCATTAGTGCCTGGTGCACGGGAGGTGCTCCAGACTGTTAGCTTGCACCCAGCCAGGACAGTAGCTGCCTGGACTTGGAGTAGACGTTGTGGCTCCTGCCACCTGCCTGACCCTCACCCCACAAGGGGCCTGTGGGGAAGTGGGCCTCTCACCAGACATCTGGTTTTTGGTCTCACACTACAGTTGTTGAATATGTGGTCCTAAGTTTAGAGACTGAGTTCCTGGCAGGGGAGACTGTTTTACTCATAATCTCAAGGATGAGGAAACCTAATAACGTTTCAGAATATGGAAAGGATTTTTTTTTATTGCCCTGGTGAACATCAAGACTGTTTTATGCCCAACCTGCTCTTAAGGAAGTCAGATCCTGCTTAAGGGGTGTGTGGCGTGTGCTTAATAGAGTAGCCCGCTGATAATCCGGGGCCTCGGGATCAAAGCATCTGCCTGCTTGCCTCCCGAGAGGAGGTGGCATCAGCTATGTTGCCCTTATGTGCAGGTACCATCTAAACGAATGGGGAAAGTGACCTTTGTGACCTTGGAGACTAATGCTTGGAACCAAGTGTTGACAGTGCCCCATGCTTCCTCTTGTTTCCATGCATCAATTTGAAAGCCTGGACTAGCTACCAAAAGATGTAGATGAAAGCTCTATAAGGAAAATAAGAAAAATTAAAAAATTTTTAAAAATAAAATAAAAGTGACAAAGAGACAGCTGTTTGTGCAGTCAGTGGCTCATAACCCTTCTGGGAACACAAACTCCTGGGAGAGCCCAGCGGAAACTTCAGACCCTCTTCCCCAGGAATGCACATCCACACTAAGTTGTGCAAACTATTTCAGAGGGCTCATCTATACCTTAGGCAGCTGGGACCCCTCATTTAAGAGCCCACTGACTGGTAATAAAACTAATAAAATCTGGGTTTATACAAAAGATCAGGGAGGGGAGAGAGGACTTTGTAAAGGATTCTTAGGTTTTTGGTAAACTGGGCTTCCCTAGTGCATCATAATTACTTTTATTTAAATTCAGTTAACATAGAATATATTAGTCTAAAAAGTCGAGTTTTGAAAGACAGTGATTCATCAGTTGCATACAACACCCCCTGCTTATTACATCACGTGCGCTCCTTAATGCCCGTTGTCACCCCATCCCCCCACCCCTATCCCCTCCTGCAAACCTTAGTTTGTTTCCTAGAGTTAAGAGTCTGTTATGGTTTGTCTCCCACTCTGATTTCGTCTTGTTTTATTTTTCCCTCTCTTCCCCTATGATTGTTTTGTTTCTTAAATTCTACATGAGTGAAATCGTATAATTGTCTTTCTCTGACTGACTTAATTCGCTTAGCATAATCCCTTATTCATAATTTTAAAATTCGCTTATGTTCCTATTCCCCCCTTCCTCTCCCTGAGTAAAAGGAGTTTTGCCTGTTTCGTCACTGAATGTTTTAGTTCACTGTTCTGTTGGGGGCATTCCTATTGGATGTTGTCCTATACACTGTTAACAGTGGTCCTGGGGACCCATTTAAAGAAGCTAGGCGGGGATCAAGCAACACTGCTCCCCCCTTGAGCGATGTCTCTTCCTCCTCTTCCATGCCAGTGCTTCGGTCTTGGTCCGGTGGAGCTGCAGTGCTTCATCTGGAGGTAAGTGCTTTCCTGGCCAGCCAGCGTGGTCCACGTGCAGTGGGTCTGGGCTTCAGATACGTTGTCGCAGGTTGTGGGGGTCTCATGGTCCCTCGTGATTGTCAGCAGTAGTACTTTTGGTAGGACAGGCGTCAGGGTATCACTGAGGCATTGGTGTCCTTGGTCCCTATGTTGTGTGAGGAAAGGCGCGTAGCTGCTGTCTTTGGTTTTTAGGGTCCCTGCTACTCTTATGAACCTTTGCCCCACACTGGGTTCCCTGGGGGTAGTGGCTTCAAACTATCGCCCCTTTCTTTTTATCTGTTTTATCTATTTGGGTATTGTACAGAATTTCAATTTTATTTAATTTATTTATTTTTAAAGATTTTATTTATTCATGAGAGAGAGACACAGAGAGAGGCAGAGACACAGGCAGAGGGAGAAGCAGGCTCCCTGCAAGGAGCCTGATGTGGGACTTGATCCTGGGTCTCCAGGATCACACCCTGGGCTGTAGGCAGCACTAAACCGCTGCGCCACCAGGGCTGCCCAGAATTTCAGTTTTAAAAAGACCCCTCTGCCCTTAGAAAAATAAATGTTTAAAAAACTTCTGTGTAGGGGATCCCTGGGTGGCTCAGTGGTTTAGCGCCTGCCTTTGGCCCAGGGCGCGATCCTGGATTTCCGGTATCGAGTCCCGCATCGGGCTCCCGGCATGGAGCCTGCTTCTCCCTCTGCCTGTGTCTCTGCCTCTCTCTATCATAAATAAATAAATCTTTAAAAAAATAAAATAAAAAACTTCCGTGTAGTGTGTGTCTGTGTATCTGTACACACAGTGCACACACGCGTACAGTTTTAATAGTAAAGCTAACATTTATGCTTGTAATTCGCAGAATTGCTTTTAAACTCATGACAGATTTGCTTCCTGCCATATTCCTGTAAGTTTTCCTCAAGGTTTAGCCTAAATGGTATATGTAGGATGAAAAAAAGTCCGTGCACAAGCCAACAGCCCTTATTCCCCCTAGGTGGGTTCAGGAGTTTTGGGTCAAACGGAACATTGAGTGTGAAGGTTAAGGACCCCAGTCTCCCAAGCCAGCACTTAGGGGCCAGGGGCCGGTCTGTGTGAGCCTGATTTGAATGGGGTGAGGAGCTGCGTGCTGGGGCTGGGGGAGCAGGGAGGGTGTGCATCTGCGGGGGCAGCAGTGGGCACCCCCGGGAAGATGCCACCTGCACCTGCCACCTGACTATGAGTACCAGTAAAGGTTCGTTTCCTTCTCTTTCTAATGGACTGGGTGTCGTCATTTGAGAAAAGTTTTCTGAGGGCCTTCTGTGGTGGGCTAGCGCGCTGGCTCAGAAAGGTGGTCTACTGGCAGAGTGGCAGGGTCAGTGCCACCGTAAATAGATCTGCAGGGAAGATAGCTGGCTGGTGGGGCTGTTGAGAGGACACGGGAATGAAGCATCAGGTTTGTTATTCAGTGTTTATTAAGTAGATTCAGTCTTATATATGATATACAGATTCAAAAGAAAAAGGATTCCACATACTTATGAAATCAGTGCATTTAGCAAGTAATACCATGGAGATAACAGCTCGATTAACAGCTCATTGGTCTTTTGTTAAGTGAGGGAGAGGGACTTGGCCTGTGCTAGAGTCATTCCACAAACAAAACAGAATTTAGTTGCATCACATAGAGAAGACACATTCTAAGAATTAAAATATTAAGCCACATTTACTGGAAAAAACTCACTATATAGAACACAAATAATTTTTATAGAGCATTGAGGAGGAAGTCCTCACCTGCTTAGAAGAGCCACGTTAAGTTGCATAGGTGCATATCTGTAAAAATATAATTTAGAGATGTAGCCGTTGATTAAGTAATAAAGAGTCACCTTTAAAAGTTGGTGCCATCCACAGTTTGCCTGAAGTGCCATATGCTGGCGGGCTGGAGCCCCCTGCCCCGCTCCGAAGAGCTGCCTCTGGGGGTGGAGGAATGCTGGTACCGTCTGCACTGGAACATCCCAAAACCTCATCTCAGATAAGGTGCTCGCGCTCTCCCCTAAATCCTGGGCGGCTTGACCCTGAAGGTCATGCGAGTCCCCTGACCTCCCCATTGCCAGGCTGCTGGGAGATGCCCACAGGAACTGCCGCAAGGCCCTGCCTGAGTGAGCACCCCATGTCCCTGCAGGTGTGTACCAGCTCCGCTCTGACCCCTGCTCCTGACAGACCACACGACAGAGGCATGTGGGCTGTCTGCTGCACGGAGATGCTTCTGAGCTTAGAAAAGTATTTTTCAGCAAATCTTGAGTTCTACGTGGTGTAGGGTTTTCGTTTTCATTTTTAGGTGGAAACATAGGTAAAAAGAGAGGTTTTTGTTTTGTGGCTTTGCTAAGCAGATGAGCTTACTGAGGTGCACCTTCCTCCTCGAGCGAGTCTTGCAGAACACACGGGGACTGGGGCATCTGTACATGTAAACAGTACACTTTCACTGAGTCCAAAATTAGGAGCAAAAATACAAAGGTTCACATTGGTCTTAGGTAGATACAGGCGAAAAAGGATTGAGCTGTTTAGCTCAGAAACAACAAAAACAAAGTTTCTAAAGCACCACTAAATTATATAAAAATCAGACCATGGACGGATTGAAACTGGTATTCTGGTGAAATACTTTACTATCTTGTAAAAAGTTTTACAAAAAATTACAAATTAAAAGTATCAACCCTCTGAGTTCAAAGCAGCATTTTGAAAATGAACTGGTAGTTAATCCTGTAACCACCCCTGGAGTCGTAAGTGGCCCTTGGGAATAGGGATGGCTGGGTTCCACCTGTTTAAAATCCTTGAAAACCCTGCGAGCCCTCTCCTGTCCCCCTTCCCCTCCACGCTGTCCTTGGGTATCAACTGTACTGGAGGTGACGGTAAATGAATTTCAGACGGGTCACACCATTACTGGTCTACTAGAGGTCTCTCACAAAGACCAAATTCCCGTTCCTCCTGATTCTACTCTTCTGCTGGAATTAGCCCCCTGCAAAGACTCTGGAATTGGTGTGTTCTACTCTGGAGTTGCCTTTTAGTTTAGGGATCCCCAGTGATGAATGTGTACCCTGAGGCCCTCCATAAGAATTTCAAATGAATGGCTGCAGGGCAGGGTGTCGGAAGTTCCCTTTGGGAGAAGGTAGTCCCTGGGGTGAGGGTGAGGGTGGGACAGCAGTGAGCCAGGTCCACCAGCTCTTTGGTGCTCCCCAAGTCAGGAGGAGTGGGGAGGGGTTGAAAGCTGCATCTTTGAAAACAAAAGCAAAACACAACAAGTTCCCTGACTGAACTAGCTAATGGAGTCCTGTTTCCACACAGCGACTTGCTCCTGATTCTGCCGTCACCAGGGTTTCGGGTGTAGCTTCACAGGCAAGGAGTCCACCCAGGTGGGGTCACTGTGACACAATCCACTTGTCCCGGAGGGGCTGCAAGGAGCCCCGGCCCATGTGGCTTTCCTCTCACACCAGTGCGCCTGAGCTCCCACCCCACGCTAAGGCAGGCTGAGATGGTCAGCTCAGAAAAGTGGGACTTCACACTGTGGCTTCTCCTGATCTTTACCTGTAATCTCTTGCGTGTGGGTGGTGGCAGCAGCCCCTCCCAAACCCTCCTCTCTCCTGTCTGTGAGGAAAGCACTGCATCCGTGCCTGGCCTGGGGCCTGCCTCTGGGAGGGGTAATGACAAGCAATTGGTATCAAGAATTCTAAGGCGATTGTCTCTGCCAGTTTTTAAGATTCTCACAAATTGCCTGGGGTAACATTTTGCAAAAGACCTACTGATTACTTTGTAGTATTGTTCACACACAAAAATAAATATTTACACAAGTTGAACCATCCTGTTGTAGCACTGAGCAGGTGGGGGCTGGACTTGTGGATGGCAGCGGTGGGGTGACAGGCCTTGGGCACGGGAGCTTGTGCTGTGCTAAGGGGGAGTCTTGGGTGTCCTGGCCCTGACCGGAGGCCTGGAGATTGGTCAGATGGAAGGCAGAGGTGGTGTGGCTTGGTGGGGTATTGGAGGCCACTTGAGAGAGGAAAAGACCACCCCCAACTACTTAGGGGCTGGAAGTAAGCACGAGGTGCGGCACCCTACCTTTCAGAGCTCTGGCTCCAGGGCCCGCAGATGGGGCGTGGATGGAGGCGGGGTGGGGCATCCGCAGGAGCCCCTCCCAGGCCCTCCTGAGGGTGGTGCGGGAGGCAGGAAGCTGCAGAAAGCTGGTTTGGGAGGGGTACCTGCTCTGGGGCCGAGTGGCCGTGGCTGTCCTAGGATCCACGCAGCCCGGGCTCCCCTGGGGCCTCTTTGCTCTGAGGGAGGAAAGGCAACAGAGGGCTTCTGCCAGCATGGGGCAGGGGCGGGCAGCAGAGAGCTGCTGCCATGGCTACGGAGTGTTGCATGGAGAGGCCCCGTGGGCCTTCTGAGGTCTGGGTGAATCCCTGGTTTTAGCAGCACTGGTAGGTATTGCACTGAGCAAGAGGAAGTGCCTATTGGGGAGGAAGGAAACCAGGCCAGCCTTTTCTTTTTGCCCTTTTTCACACTCCAGGGATTATAGGTTTCTTCAGGACTGGCCCCTCCAGAAGGGCAGGTCCTAGCAGAGCCCAAGTGGCTTCTCCACTTCTACTGAAGGTCCCTTTACTCCAACCACAGGGGGCAGGGGACAGGAGCTGCAGTCCCACCAGGGGCTCACAGCTGCTTTTCCTATTTGGTGGCTGCCCGACAGCTGGGGGCCCTTCCCGGCAGGCATCTGAGGGCCCTGGGCCTGTGTGGAGAGGTGTTCAGACCAGGCTCCGGGGGGGGGGGGGGCAGGTGAGGGCAAGGGCCCCGAGGACCAGCTGCTGTCCCCTGGCACTGTGTCCTGGTAAGCAGCCAGGAGGGCCGGGGCCAGGGCGCCGAGCCGCTGCTCGTGAGGGTCAGAGCCCTCTGGGCTCCAGCTCCTGGCCAGCCCTCTGGACTTACCTCCCAGGCAGACACACTGTGTGGGGGAGTCGGGAGATAGTCATTCAGAACGGGCTCAGGGCACATCTTGGGAAAAGCCCACGCTGGAGTGTGAGGTAGAAGACAGGTGGCCGTGTGACTCGGGCTTCTGTGGAATGGGGGTGGGGGAGCCATTTTTGTTTGTCTTTGCTTTGCATTGGGTGTGGGTGAGGTCCTCCGGCGCGGCGGTGCTGGGCGCTGGGAAGGGCGGCCAGGCCGCGCCCGCCCCACCGCACCCCGCCCTGCCGGCCCCCAGCCCGCGCCAGTGTAGTGATATGGAATGTTAGGTCACAGGGATACATCCTTCTGATCAGACAGACACAGACTGGCAATCTGTACAAACACAAAATCCATTTTCAGAAAAATAAATTACTAAGGGGAGAGGAAGAAAGGGTCCACTTTGTTTTTCTCAATAAATATGCAATTCTGCTCACCTAAGACTTGAAAGGTAATTATCTGGGGGTGGGATTCTAACATCAGGGTCCACGAAGATGATTCTAAATAGAGCTGCGTCCCCAGCGCCTCTCGTCAGGCGTCCCCAGCGCCTCGTCAGGGGAGCCCCAGCCCTTCCAAAGCTGCCCCATTGGCCTCTTCCAAGCAGGTCAGAGCACCCGTGTGGTGAGATTCCAAAAAAAAAAAGTGTCCTTGTGCCCAAAGTCGCAGGTGCTTGGCGTGTGGCTAGAAACAGCTCTCTTGGATCCCACCTTGTTCAGAAAACAAAATGTACCAAGTGGTGAGGCAGGAAGCCGGGCAGGGACAGCCTCCTTCCCTAGAGTAGTGCGCTCCGGGTGCCGCGGCGTCAGTTCTGCTGCAAAATGAGGTTTTCTAGTTCGTCCGCGGAGCGTAGCAGGAAGGCAGCAGACTCTCGGTAGCCAGCGATGAGCTGCCGCACAGCACTGATCTCCGTGGGGCTGAGCTGGGCGGCGGGCATGGTCCTGCTGGTGCTGTTGCTGGAGGGCGTCGGTGTGGGTGTGCTGGAGGCCGTGCTGGCCCCGCCTTTCATGCTGAGGTCGGTGGGCCCTGCGGAGGGAAGAGCGCAGGTGAGGAGGGGAGCTGACACCTCCCGTGGCATCTGGGAGGTGCCATCGCCCTGGGCGTCGTCTGGGGGCGCTGGGGCCTCTTGGCGGCGGTAGTCCTAGCACCTAGGATGGGGTCTGGTACCAGCAGGTGAGACACGGGGTTCTCTATTAACCCCTGCAAGGAAGGGGGCCTTATTGTCGGCAGGTGGAAGCTGTGGAGGCCTGGAGGCCAGGGGCGAACGTGTGCGCGCTTCTTCCTTTGGGACAGGGTGGCACATGGCAAGGGCACAGGCTTTGGCCAGAGTGGGGTTCTGCCTCCAGCTCTGGGGCCCTGCTCATACGTCTGCTGCTTTCTGAGGACTGTTAGGTAGGCAGCAGTCCCCTAGCAGGCACACATCCCAGCCCTGGTGGCCAGGTGAGGAGGCCGCACCTCCCTGACTCACCTCGCGGTGGTAAAACAGAGCTTCAAAGGGGAGATGGTGATAGCCGAGAGGAAGCGTGGTCCCGACCATAAGAAGGGCTGCCGGTGTCTGTGCCCTACGTACAGCCACATGCTCTTTGTCCTCTGACAGGGCGACTGTCCAGGGAGAGGGTATTCAAGACGCTGCAAGTAAGCAGGCACCTGACACCCTGAGAGGCATGAGTGTGTGGAAAGCCCTGGAGCCCAGAGTGAAGGCACAGGAGACCAGGAAAAGAAACACCTGCGTGTGTGCCCAGACAAGGGAGGGGCTTCTGTCCAGGTGGAGAAGAAAGGCCAGGTGTCCTGCCTGACTGTGGGAGGGGTTGGGGCTAGGCCAGCCGGATGGTGACCATGCCCTGCAGGGGAGGGGCTGGAAGTGCCATGTGGAAGAAGGTGCTGTGGGTGCTAAGCCTGTTTCCGATGAGCCACAGCACCCAGAACCCCCCCTTCTTCTGAGTGAGGGGAAGGTGCACGAGGGTCGGAGTGGTCAGGACAGGACTGCGGAGGGCAGTCTGGAGAAGTTCCCTTTGCCCTCAGAATGGTGGCAGCAAAAAAGGAGCCTCTGAAGTCTTTTGAAACATCCTAGGTGTGTGTGGTGGGGGACCACCAGGCCCCGTGTCCTCTTTGCCTTTCCCAGGCCCCTCCACGAGTGCATTGCGGGCTTTGCAATCAGGCTCGCCTGAATTCAGGGCCTACTCCGCCACTCCACAGGCAAGTGTCAACAGCCCTGAGCCTTGGAACAGGAGGAGGCTGCTGGGGGCACGGAGCCATGCCTGTGAAATCCTCAGCACGGCCAGGCACTGCTGGGCCCACTGGGAACGGGCTTCCAGACAGGTTTGGGGCTTTATCAATGGGCTCCCAGGAGACATGGAGGCTCCTGGAATTTGAAACACGTTCTTTTGAGGTGTTAAGCCAGCAAACAGCCAAAGAAGAGCATATCTGGGGGTGTGGGGCTGGAGCGTTCTCCAGGAGGCTGTCTCCCCACACTGGGCTGTCTCACCCTGGTGGGCAGGCACGGGGGGCTGTCTGTGGTTGTCAGCCAGCTCCCCACGACTCCAGCAGCCAGCGCCACTCATCACTGCACCTACAGGGGAGCTACTGGGGCATTCTTCATGCTGCTACACCCAGAGAGATGGGCAAGCTCCAGGCACTGGAGACCCCTAGGCTCGAAGGAACACGCCAGGAGGAACTGCGGAAACTGGATTGCTGCTCAAGGGAGCTGGTGCAGCCCACAACTGGGGAAGGAGGGTGGAGTCTGACACAGGCCCATCTGTCCCAGGGGCTGTTTCCTCTCTAACCAGAGCACGTGGACTTCAAGGAGGAGGTCCTTGGAATTGAAAATCAAGGGAGAAGCAGCTAAGTCTGTTAAGATAAAATGCAGGACAAAGGAGCAGGGTTGTGACTTGGCTGGAAACAGCAGCCAAGCCGGTGGTGGACTTCCCTCTTGGTGGCCAAGGGTCTATGGGGACGGGCCAGGAGTACCTCTGTTAACTCCTAGATGCTGTGGGGGCTGGCCCCGGGGTGGGGACGGTGCCTCCCAGTCCCCTCCAGAGAATGTGTGGTGACAGCAGAGGAAGGGCCGCAGGTGCTGTGACCTGGCCCTGGGGTTCCTCTCTCTCCCATCCCCAAGCCTTGTCCCCTGCATCCCTGTGCTCACAGCTGTTCTTCTGTGGCTGTCAGATGGTGGCCAGGGCCTGGACGGGAGACTGTCCCTATCTCCTGCAGCCAGTCTGCTCTGGAGCCACCCTCCCACGGGCTCTCATGCTGACATTCAGGTGGAGTTGCTACAGGGGCAAGAGAGGGTCCGAGTTGTCCAGCACCCCAGGAAAGAAAGGCCAAGCCGATTCTACCAAAGCTCAGTTGCACCTCCCAATGACAACCTGATGAGCACAGCGAGAAGCAAGGAGCCACTCATGGAGTGGCTCTGCGGAGGCACTGGCATGACTGAAGAAAGATGGCTGCAAGGGCCGCCAGCTGCCATGGAGGGCAGCAGGGCTGGGACAGCTGCCCGTGGTCATTCTCCAGCTACTGGACTCCAAGCCAGGGCTCCCAGCACCTGTGCTGCCCTGGGCTGGGAGCTAACTGAGCACGTGTCTTTCTCAGGGACCTCTCCACCCACCTCTAAGGAAGCGGGGTGCTTACAAAAAGGAACAGAACCCCTGGGAAGCACAGGGGCAGAGCCAGATGCCTCCCTCCCAGGAAGAGGGGCTGCTGCTGGAGCCTCTCTGGCAGGTACGAATGGGACCCAGGGGCTGTAGCCATGCTGCAGCCAGGCCATGCTGTGTGGCACTAGGTGGGGGCTTGTCACCATTGCCCACAGCCTGGGAAGGACGCGGGGGCCTTTGGCTCGCCATGTCTAAGGGTCCTGACCTCACTGCCTTGGAACCTGTCTTCAGATACTCAGCAGGGCGGTCAGATGGCTCTTCCTTCTGGAAGGAAAGCAGCCCTTCTGGGACAGCAGTACCACCTCTCACTGCAGCTGGCTGCTCCGGCCTCAGCTTCAGGGATTAAGGCCAGGCAGCCTCTTATTTTAGGTTAAGAGGCATTAGGAAGGGATGAGAAATTAAGCCCAGGCAGGAGTCTTCCAGGGACTTGCACACACTTCATGGTGGTAGGGCAAGGTGAGCAGAGGGGGTGTCGGGCTCTCTGCCAGGGGCAGAACCAGCCCCTCCCTTGCTGCCTGGGTACAGCGAGGGGGCCCCTGCAGCCAAAGACAGGGCTTGAGAGGAACTCTTAGGCACGCTGGCTGAGACTTTGAACCAGAGTTTCCTGGCCTGTGGGTGGCACCCTCCTCTAATCTATTCAACTTGGGGTCACCCTCAGCTCTCCTCCTCACCCCTTTGCCTCTGCAGGACCCTCAGTGCACACGGCTTCTGCCTCCTGCCCTTCCAGAACCGATCTCACCACAGGGCAGGCAGTGCATAGTTCACAGCCCTCTGCTTAAAACCGATCGGTCGCTCCCACTGTACACACACAGCAAAATCCAAGTGTCCTGTCCCAAAAGCCCTGAGGTCACCCCCACCCACTCCCTGCCCATTCCCCAAGGCCACCAAGCTGCTCTCCACCAGCAGAGCCTGCTCTTTCCCTGCTGCCTCCCCCACCCACCCTCCCTGGGATCTATGGGGCCCAAGGTGAATGGGTCTGAGGTCCTCACTCTGGTTCCCACTCAGGGCAGCCCCTGACACCACAGGGAGGTCTGCATCTTTTCAGGGACTGTTCCCCAACCACTGGGCCATATCTTGTCTGCATCAGAGGCACCCGGGACGTACTGCGGGGAGCACCTAAGGAATTACCAGCTTCAGGGGGTAGTGAAGGGGGCCAGACAGTTAACCATCACTCCGGGTGACCTATATAGGGCTCCGTAGTGCAGGGACACAGGCTGAGGCCTGGAGAAGGCAGTGACCTGCCCAGAGCCACTCAGCCAGCTCCCCAGGACGCAGCAAAAAGCAGGCCGTGCCAGGACTAGATGCTGGCTCTGCCGTCAACTCCGAGGGACCATGTCACCGCGCCTTGGTCGTCACAGGTAAGGCAGGAGTGTGGAGAGGATTCGACCCACGTAGAGCAGGGCTTGGCTCATGGTGGTCCTCGGGGAGCGGAAGCAGGGATAGGCCCCACAGTGTATCCAGCGAAGCACTGGAGCAAGCCTCCCTGGAGGCAAGAAAGGACGGGGCAGCTTTTTGTTTTAACCAGCCCGTTTTTCTCACCTTCCAATCTAAGGACCGCCTGAGACTGAAATGGGGAAGGTCCCCTGTGCCATGAGGGAGGCACCTTCCCTGCGGGCTTCTGCTTCCCGGCCTGCCTGGCTCCGTTCCCTGAGGCTGCGATCCACATGGACCTGGGTTCTGGTCAGGAAGCCAGGGAGCCTGGGTCCCCCGCACTCACCATTACTGTGATTTCCTGTTTGGAGGGAGGCAGGGGGCTGCAGGTTGCTGCCCAAGGCCCCGTAACCGCGGTAACTGTAGTTGAGACCACCGTTGACGTACACGGGGTCCTGGGAGTAGGAGGAGGCTGGCAGTGAGTAGGTGGAGTGGGTGATGGCTGCGGAGTCCCGAGAGTGCTGCTTGTCCAGGGCGATGGGCTCATCCTACAGAGAGGGGAGGAAAGCGCTAGGGGACCCGAGGGGTGGCAGGCACTGACCCTCGTCCTTGGGACCCAGTGCTGTGGCCTGTGGGACTCTGCTCACGTCTCTGTGGGCCAGATTTGATCTGCTCCTGCCTAGCTGAGAACCCTCTGGGAGGGCAGACTCCCTAGGTGTGCCGGGCCTTGGTGCTGGACTTTGCACATCTGCCCTGCTGCGGCTCTCTCTGCTCTGAGGACCGCCCCCGCCCCGCCCACCCCTGATGCCCAGGGCTGCTGGGGAGCACGCACCTGGGAGGACTGGTAGATCTCCAGGCGCATCCTTTTGGCTGCTTTTCTTGTCTCGCTCTCGCAGGCAGCTGCCAGGATGTTTTCTGCCATGGCCGAGGTCAGGTGGGGAGGCGTGGGTCTGGTCTGGAGGCAGAGCGGGGACGGAGCCATGTTGGGGCTTACCCAGACCCTGCCCCGGAGGTGGCAGGCACAGGGCTGGGGTGTGGGCCCCGGGCCATGATTTCTGGAGCCGTATAACCTTTCTGGGCCCTCTCCAGCCCCAGCCCCCTCCTCTGTGAGTCTGGGAATGCAGTGCCTGCTTCCAGGGATACTGGAGAGGGAATGGTCTGGCCGGAGCACCGAGGAGCCCCAGGGGTGTGGCTGGAGGCCAGTGGTGGTGCAGAGGGGACAGGGACGGGAGGAGGGGCTCACCATCTCCATGCCGTTTTTCTTCATGCGCCGGCAGGACTTGAGGTACGTGCGGATACGCTTGCGAGCCCGCTCCTGGAACTCGGGAAACTGCCGGCTGCAGGACTCAATGATGGCCTGGATCTTCTCCTTGGGCTGCTTGGAGATGGGCACCATGCGGTCCAAGTTCTCGTCCACAAAGAGCCGCACAAACATCTGCGGGACACACAGGCCGTGGGGAAGGCTGGCCCTGGCCATAGCTCCCGCCCCCGACCCAACCTGGCTCTCGCTGGCGCTCACGTTGAAGGCCTTGAGGCGCTCGGGGTCCATGCCCTCAGAGTCGTTCATCTTGTCATTGTCCTCGTGGTCATCATGGTCGTCATCATCGTCATCTGCTGTGGGGGCCCGGCCCACCGTCAGGTCCTCAGGGCAGCCACTGACCTCAGTCTTGATGGAATCATAGCTCCCAGAGCTGTAAGGGGGCGACTGAGAAGGGGCGAGGGCCAGAGGGTCAGAGCAGGCCTGCTCTTGGTCTCTGATGGCCATAGTGAGCTTGGGGACCGGGACGGTGAGCCAGCCACAATTTCAAGGTCCGGCACCACCTCCCCTCCCTGCTCCCTTCTATGAATTGGAGGCACCAGTGTTGCCACCCCTCCCTGGCGGCTGTAGGCAGGACCGCCTGCCTGCCACGGTGTAAGTGCAGCCTTGGGCCCCGGAGGCACTGAGCAGAGGTGTCAGTGCTTTACTCAGCAGTGGTGCCCATGCAGGGCCCTGCCGCCACATCGTGCGAGGGACAGGTGGGTGCAGGCTGGGTTCCCGCCACTAGCCACAGCCTCTTCTGGTTCTGGCTTTGGGGTTTTCCTCCCTGATCTCAGGGGGCTGCAACCCTGAGCTGGCAACTGAGCTGTCACGCAGGCGGCAAGTGTGCTGTCTGTCAGGAGGAGGAACAGATGGGCTGGGAGAGGGAACCAGCCAAGGCGACAGGTCCATTAGGCAAAGTGCATTCCCGAAGCTGCCAGGCTGGGGTTCTCCTGTCTGCTGCCACCCCCAAGGAGACACTGTGAGCCCCCATGCAGAGGGTGTATGTAGAAAGGGGGAGTGGGGGCAGCCCAGGTAGCTCAGCGGTTTAGCGCCGCCTTCAGCCCAGGGCATGATCTTGAAGACCTGGGATGGAGTCCCATGTCGGGCTCCCTGCATGGAGCCTGCTTCTCCTTCTGCCTGTCTCTCTGCTTCTCTTTCTCTCTGTGTCTCTCATGAATAAATAAATAAAATCTTAAAAAAAAAAAAAAAAAAAGGAAGGGGGAGTGGGAACCAGGCCCAGCTCACCAGGCAGTCACCCTATCCTACGGCAAAGAAGGGACCTGTGGTCTCTTCCCACCACAGGAACTCCTCCCAGAATAAGCCTCTTCTTGGGATCCCAGCTCTTGCTGAAGAACAAACAGATGAAGATGGACACTGGCCGGCACCCAGTCCTGCAGCGGCTGCCACCACCAGGCTTCCTGTGACCTGCCCACAGGGATCGGCCCTCCCAGGGCTTCTGGCCCAGTGCCCAGCTCTTGACCCTTATACAGACTTTACAAGGAGCAGAGACACCTAGGTCCTCCGGCCTCCTGCTGGGTCATGTCAGACTTGTGGTGGAGAGTCAAAACACCTCCTAGGCCCTGGGCAAGTCACATTCCCAGGCCGCTCCTTAGCCAAGTCCTATGCCAGGGCCAGAGGAGATGGAGATAGAAACCGCAAGACACAAGCTGCCGGTGGCACTGACGCTCCCATCTCCCTTCTTTGGCCCACATACGTGGCCTGAGGTCATGATGGTGGACTCTCCCTCTGCAGCTCTATCTGCTCAGTGCAGGGAGCCTGCCTCTTGGACTTGGAGGGGGAAGACCATGCTCTGGCCAGCACCTGCTCTGTGGCCTGGGCTCAGACACAGTGACAGCTGAACACCCCCTCATCGGTACAGAACTTTCCCATGAGACAGGCCATCAGAGGCCAGCCTGGCACCCACCCCACACCCTGTGCAGAAGAGGCCCAGGGAGGGAAAGGTACAACCATGTACCTGTGTAGAGGTACATGGTTGGAGGCTGGGGTGTAGGGCTCCGAGAAGTCACCTCTGGCCCCCCAGCCCTGGCAGGAGAAAACTCTCCCAAGAGCGTTCATGTGCTCAATGCAGCGCTGCACCACCGCGGGAAACCTTAGTGGCCAGAGGCAGCTTGTAGAAGGGCGAGGGGGCCCCGGGAAGCAGGGAGGAGTGTCCAGTGGTGGGGGCACGTGCATCGGCCACCCTTCTCCCAGGCCCACCCTGCATCAGCCTGATCTACTGGGTTGCAAACATCCACATCCCTGGGGCTCCAAAGGCCTTGTTCCTTCTCTGCATCTGTAAAAGGGGACAGCATGCAACGTAGCGGGGGGAGGGCCTCAGTGCTGACTGTGGTCCCTTGCTGCTGTAACGTGCAGCAGACTGTTCTGGGGGTAGGGGAATAGGCCACACATCACCTCCACTAAGGCCGGGGCCCAGCGCTCTTCACAGATGGTGACAGCGGCTCTGAGAAGGGAAGGCCTTGACTGAGGCCACACACTGTGTGAGCTCTCGGCCGGAGCCTCCACAGCCAGGGCCTCTGTGCTGACCTGGGGTCACAGTGCTGGGCGCATGTGATTTCACGTCAGCCTCGCACAACCCTGACAGGTACAGGAAGAAGGAGACTTGCGGCTCAGGGGGTCCACAGCCCCACACACCTCAGGGGTGGTCTTCACCCCGTACTTGACGCGACTCCGCAGTCCATCGGTGCCGCAGCTGTCTGAGGGGTAGGAGGGCGTGCTGAGCGCCGTGCCCGGCGGGAGCTTGTCGCACAGGTTGATGGGCTGATCTTCGGAGGTGGCGGTGAAGTCCATGGGGGCCACAGCACCGTTGCCATTCATCTCGGGGAAGGCGGGGTCGCCCTGCGTGCTGCTCGATGTGGATGGGTTCAGGGTGGAAGAGCCATTGCCGCTGCCACTCTCAGAGGAGGAGTCATCTGGAACAAGAGGCCTGGGTGTGAGGCTCCACCCCAGCACCTACTGACCCTACAAGCCCCCTGGGGTATCATGGCCACACCAGTCACAAGGAATACTTGCCTGTCGTCCTCACAAGCATCTCTGGGCAGGAGATGAGCATGGCTGTCCCCTTGAGGGGCTCCAAGAGGTGAGCTCTGCCCCTACCTGACGTAAGGGCAGGGTCCCTCCACCAGAAAACAGACCATCAGGAGTACAGTGTGCCAGGCATGGTGGCCCCCTGCACTCCAAGCCCACGGCACCACATCAAGGGCTCAGGGGAGGCTTTGGGGAGTGAGTGGCTGCAAGCTCAAGTCCGACAAGCCTGCTGCATGCCAGAGGTCCTCGGACACCCCAGAGGCCACTAGGGGCTTGACTAGCAGCCCCCTCTTCCTCTCACTCACCTCTGCCTTACCCCTTCACACCCTCTCCCCACAGCAGGCTCTCAACTTCCTCCATCCGCCTAAGGAGAACCTGGCTAATGCATTAGCCCTGCTGTGACACCCCCGCCCCACTCCTTCCTGCACGCAGGCCCAGCCTTGTCGTGGCAGCTGACCCCGGACAGCGTGGCCCCACAGCTGCCTCCTGTGTCAGGTCACCCAGAGCCCGGGCTGCGGGGTCTGAGGTCTGCACTCCCTGTACCTCAACGGGCCATCCCTGCTTTCCAGAGGTGACAGCCCTACAAAGCTCTGCTGAGGGCGCCCCCTGCTGCGGAGAGCACAACACTGCGGGGGTGGGGGTGGGGGTGGGGTTGGGGGTGGGGGGGCGGAACTTGAACGGAGGGGCTAGACTTTCTCAGATCGAAGTCCCGGCCCCTCTCCCCAATCCAGGCCCGGCCTCCTGCCCAACCAGCTGAGATGGCAGAGGCCAAAGCCACTCCAGCTCCCCGGGTCACTGTCAGGTGAGTCCGGCGCGGCTCCCGGGGGCGCCCAGGTGCCCGGAGCTGCTGGGGGAGGGGTGGCCACCGCGAGCCTGACCGCCTCCCAGGCCGCCCCTTCCCCCAGGCCAGGGTCGCCCAAGGCCCCACCCCCACTCTCCCGGCCGGCAGATTATGAAGATTTAGTCCCCGGGGCTGGGCACTGGGCACGCGCACCACCGGAGTGTCCCCATGGCGACGAGCGGCTCTGGCACCCCAACCAATCGCTGGGCTCCCGGCTGCCCGGGGGCGGGGCCCGGCTGCCCATCAAGCCGCCGAGCCCTGGGCTGAGGGGGATGGGAAAGGCCGCGGTGAAGTGGCACCCCTCCCCCTCGGCTGCGCAGGTCCCCCGGGCTGGGCTGCCCCTCCCCCTCTTCCTCTGGGCGGCCACCGCTCCCCCCATCCTCCTGCAGGCAGGGCAGCTCCAGGCTCGGCTCTGGGCTTACTCAGCTGCACCCCAGAGTGCCCTCTGGCCTGCGGCCCTGCCACCTCCGGACCCTCACCACCCATCGCCGCCCCCTTCCTCCTCCATCACAGATGGGCCTGCTTCCCCCCACCTCGCTGATCTCCAGCGACCAGTCTAGAATGAACAAATCACCTGGCAGTATTTACTGAGCACCTACTGCAGGCTGGCCCGGTCCCAGGCTGGGACATAGAGTAACAAGGGCAACGCAGGTGCTGGCCCTCCAGGAGGGGCATCTCCCAACCAAGGAGAGTGGCTGCTCTCCTTCCCTGCAGTCACACCCCTGTCTCCACTCCACCTTTTTTCCAGGGCGGGCCTACTCATTACTCCTCGGTTCTACAGCCTTGCCGCTCTGCTCCCCACAGTCCGCCGCATGGTACAGCCCAGGCTCCGGCTGGGTGTGTTCTTAGGCTCAGGGCCCCTGTAGCCCGGATCTCATTCCGTTGGCTGCCGCAGGGCCTCCCATCTCCAGGCCTTTGCTTGGGCTCTGCTGTCTGCCTGCCGCGGTGCTTCCAAGCTCAGAAAATTTCCGTCGGCCTTCAAGGCCTGGCTCAATGCTGCCTCCTCAGGGCAGGCCTCCTCCAAGGTCTCTAGGAAGGAGGTACTCACAGCCCTGACAAAGCTGGTCCCTGTCCCTCCTGGAGACTTCATGCCTCCTTAGCCTGGCCCGGGTGAGTCCTGACAGCTGCCCACTTTCCACCGAGGCAAGACCTGTTGTTGCTGAAGACGCCCTCACACACTCAGAAGCCTCTTCTGGAGCTGAGGATCTGGAAGGCAAGGATGGACACCCACACCTGCTGGTCCTGGGAACTCCTATTTGCAGGTGAGACTTCACACCCTGGCATCACCCCCAAGAGGCCAGCTGCCTGACCTTGGAGGGCTTGGTCTTCCTCCAAGAAAAGGGCTACTGGGTGGGGGGCACCATGCCTGGCACCCAGTGAGCCAAGGTCCCTGTGCTCAGCATGGGCATCAGGCCCATAGCCTCCTGTGCTGCCATAGCCCTGCACAAGCCCAGAGGTGGCACCCCAACTGCTTGCCTCGCTGACCAGGTTAGCTTCGTTTCCCTATACCTCTGGCAGGGGTGAAAGGGCACAGGGGAAGGGGAGAGGGGAGGTGTGCATGCTCCCGGGCCCCTTGCAGCTCAGGAGCCCAGTCTGGCCCAGATTCCTGGAGCTGCCAATTCCTTGCCCCAGGCCTGTGCACCTGTGCTGCTCAGCCAGCTGGCCCCAGGTACTGGCTCCAGTGGCGGCACCCCCTTTCCCCTACTCAGAGGCTGCCTTAGTCTAGTATGGGAAGCTGCTGGGCAGGTGCGAGCGGGAGGTACCAGGATCCAGATCACGCATTCCAAACTGTTGGAAGAAACTGGAAATCTACACCATTAGGTAAATACTCGGATTTAAAAATATTGGCGACTGACTTACGTCGTTTACATTTTGAAAAGCCTTGCCAAATAAATGGATAAGACGAAATGTGGTCTATCCACGCAGTGGAACGTTATTCAGCTGTAAAAAGGAACGAAGTACCGCTGAGACACACTTCAACGCTAGGGCCTTGGAGCACACGATGCCGAGTGGAAGAAGCCAGTCACAGCGGGACGGACACTGAATGGGTCTGCGTGCGCGCAGCGTCTAGAGCAGGTCCCTTCACGGAGGCGGAAGGCATGTTAGGGCTCCCGGAGGCCGGGACGCGCGAGGACAGGGAGCTGCTGCTTCACGGGCATGGAGTTTGTTTGGGGTGATGAAAACCGTATTTTGGAAATAATGGTGTTGCTTGCACAACACTGTCAGTGTACTTAACGCTGCAGAATTGTCTACTGAAAAATGGTTAAAATGGCGATTTTAACATTACACCATATTTACCACAAAAATCCACCCCAAACTAAAAACACCAACCACACCCAAAGCCTTGAGTGGGCCAGTGGGGCCCCGGTTCCCAACTCCACGTGCTCCCACTTCATTCCTCCACAGGCCAGGGCTCGCCCGCCTCCACACAGCACCCGGGGGCAGGGGGAAGCCAGCACCCAGAGCCCTCATCCCGGGCACAGAAGGGTCTCGAGCTGTGCTCCCCAGTCCTTCTGCTCCGGCCACAGTGCACCTACACCACCCGCCCACCCACCAACGGGGCCGCCAATGACTTGAGTCCAACTTTCTGCCAACTGGGGGGGCCCATGGGGTTTTAGGCAGCACGCAGAGGGGCTGTGGACTGGGGTGGACATGGCTGGGCAACCCTGAAGATGCCACTTGACCTCTCGGAACCCCAGTTTCCTTTCCAAAGGGGTTCCGTGTCCACAAAATAGAACTTGTATGGTATAGACAATACCTGGTAGAGAGAACCACCCGCCCCCTCCCCACCTCACCGCGCACCTACTTCACACACACACACGCACACGGGCCTCCCTGAAATCTGAGGCAGCCACAGTGAGGGCAGGGGAGAGGGCAGTGCCTGGAAGAGGCCGTGCCCACCAGTGTCCCTTCCTTGGGGTCAGGCCTGTGCAGGACACCGGGAAGAGAGCAGTGAAAAGACAGGGGTGGTCACTGTCCTGGGGGCTCATCCTCTGGCAAGTAAAAACCCAAACATAAGGGTTCTTTCTAGCAGAGACAGGGCTCCAAAGAGAGCCGTGAGCTTTCTGGCCCTTGGTCCCTGCGCCTCAGCCCGCCAGCCCTGACTGCAGGGCCCCATCTCCAGTTCTCATCCCAAGGACGAGGAGGCCCTCTGAGGGAAGAAGGGATGAGGAGGATGGGAGCAAAGGGAGGAACAAGGCTTCAGGAGGAAGCTGAGAGGGCCCTGGGGCCAAGGCCCCCTGACCCTGGGGCGGGGCGGAAAGGTGCTGCTGGGGGGCTGGGGGTGGTGTGTGTCTGTCCATGCCACCCGCCCCCCACTGCCCCAAAGGCAGTGGCAGCTGCAGGGAGTGAATTTAAACCCCTAAGGAGGAACCAGACTTCCCCCAGAGGCAGCCCCCTCACTGCACCCCACTCCAGCTGTACCCCTCTCCTGCCTGCTATTCCCTCTTAGGACACTCTGTCCCCAGCTCTCCCTCCTCTCCAGAGATTTGCTTCAAGGTCACCTTCTCAGTAAGACCTCCCTGCCCAACTCTGACATGCTGACCCCTTTACCTACTTTTTCCAGAGCATCTTAATCACCTCACATACTCTGTCTATGGCCTGTGCCCAGCTCCCCCATCAGCTGCCCCAGCCCTGCAGACCCAGGGTTAGCAGGCTCTATAGGGTGGGCCCAGATCATTCCTGCATCTCTAGAAACCAAACCCCTCCCTCTGGTGAGGTCACACTAAGTCTTCCAGGACCTGCCCCACGCCCGGCCAGTCAGCACAGCCCATCCCAGTGGTCAGTGGGCATCTGACCAAGCTGGACCCATGAAAGTCAGTCCCCGGGACTCAGGGCTACTGAGCCCATCCGGCAGGACTGAATGGCTGGCTTGGACAAATCCCCCCTAAATCCATCTGTGCCTAAAGCCAAAGAACCTATAGGCTTTCTGGTATGGGAGCCAGTCATTTCCCTACTACTGAAGCTAGGTGGAGGCCAGTTTGGTCTCTGAGTGATCTGCAACCCTCCCTCTGGGAGGAGCCGAGCGACCAGAGCCGGAGCCAG